ATATTGGCAGACTCCATTAAGTAAACATTTACTGTTTTTGGGAAATACTGAAATAGCCGAATAGTGCTGGATGTGACACACTAATGTGGACTAAACAAGACAAAACATTTTCTCCTTTTGTGCATTGAGTTTTGCTCAAAATCCAATCTGTCTTGCAGGTGAAATTTGAGGAGGTTGAAATGATTCCAAAGTCAGGAAAATCTCCAGCAGACTCGAGGAAGAGTGTCGGCATCCATGAGTTTGCAGCACTTGCCAGATCCTCCTTAAATGGTAATAGCCTTTTAACTTGTTTTTGCACTTTGATGATGAAATGTCTTGAATTTCTTGAGTCACAACTTCAGACTCTACCTCTCTCTCCGTTCAGGTATCTCTCAGGCCGTGAGGGACCATATGACAAAGCCTACCTCCCTGGCTCAGGGCCGGGTTGCCCACCTCATTGAGTGGAAAGGTTGGCCCAAACCTGCGGACCCACCACCGGCTGCCCAATCCCACTTTAACTCCTACTGCCATCTGACTGAAGGAGAGAAGGAAGCCCGGTTTGCTGCAGGTATTCATCTCTGTGATTTTGTTTTGAATCCAGGTTTTCCTGTGTATCTAGCTGGTGTATGTATGTCACTTGTCTGTTTGTGTGGGCACCCTCTTACTTAGCTTGATTTAGCTCCAGCATCATCTCCTGGCTGGCTCCCACCTTCAGTCAGACACCTAATCCCCTAAAACTCCTGCATGTCAGCGGCTTGCCCCGCCCACCGTCTCTTGGGTGATGGCTTGTCTTGGCAGCAGATGGTGGCCTATTAGACACTCTCCCAGAACACTTCACTGCCCACCAATGGTACAACAGCTCCTGTTGTTTTGCTGTGACTCATCCTCTCTGGCGCCGGTGACATCGGCATGGTTTGATCAAGTGAGAGAATGAGAGAGAGGGGGGAGGAAGTAAGGTGCATAGTGAGTGTACATCATGTAATGTACATTATAAAGTCATTATCTTTTGTCTTCACATTGTAATCTATGTGTCCTGCTATGTAAATTTAAAAAAAGCTGGCGACAAGAGCTGAAAGAATAAGTGGATTCATAGCAATATAGAAACAAAAAAACACCAAAAAAGAGGTATAAGAAAGGACTGCAGTATTACTCCAACCATGTTTGATATAGATATTAATGCACTGACAAATGCAATACAAATTCAGAGATTCCCATCACCTTTAATGAGTCATGTGACAAATATGAGGCATCAATAGATAATTAGCAGGTTACATAACAAGAAAAAAAATGTTTTTGCTTTTTTTAAGACATTCCTGTAATCTTTTACATCTTAAAATTGAAGGAAAGTATTTGGTTTAACTGCTAACAGGTAGACATGTACTAGCATTCAGCCATTCCTTCATTTTAAGGCATCACAAGTCAAATAAACTGTGAAACCACTGCATTCATTTATTGGACTTGTGTTCCTGGTAGGAGTGGCTGAGCAGTTTGCCATTGCTGAGGCTAAGCTGCGCGCCTGGGCGTCTATGGATGACGAGGAGGAGGAAGAGTCCAACAACGACGAGGACTCCAACACCAACGAACAGACGCACACCTTCTCCAGCCAGAGCTCAGGTATTGCCGCCATTTTGTCCATTTCATCTCATTTCACTTTTCACTTTTGCATCATCACTGAAAAAAATGCCTCATTTTCCCATCCCCTCCCCCAATTATCCATCCATCCCCAGGTGTTCTGATTTTTTGCTCCTCCCTCAGACGCCGCCACATCCAATCCTATCACCGGAGCACCATGCCAGCCTGAGGGTGATGGTGGCGAGGCACCGCCCTCCGACAGCCCCCTGGGCTGCAGCAGCAGCGGCAGTCTGCTCTGCGGTGGGCCTGCATCTCACAATGACCCACATTCATCCCAGACCAATTCACCTACTTTACCCAGCGACTGCATGAGTCCCTTCCTGGAGGAGGAAGAGGAGGAGGAGAGGCTGGATTGTCACGAGGGGCAGCCGGCGCCTTTGCGGGAGCAGCACAGCGAGGTCTGCGTCCACCACAAGTCTGAGTGGAGGCCTCGGATCAGGAGCAGCAGGTTCGACTCCTGCTACTCCACCTCTCACTCCGAGTCTCCCGGAGAGGAGGATGAGGAGGATGAGGAAGGCAGCGTGTTTCACGAGGTCCCAGTGTGGCACTGCAGCCCAAGAAGCTTCTTCTCTGACCGGGCCTCCTCTGGAGTAGCGTCATTCGATGAAGAGGAGGAGAGAGATGAAATAGAAGAGAAGAAGCAGGAAAAAGAGTTTTTGATGTGATGTGTTGTCCATCTTTATGTCTGAGTCCGTGTTGATTCTGGATATGACATGATCTATTCTGCTTTCACTGTTAACCTTGCTCCGCCTCCTCTTCTTCTCCACCTCCTTCTTCTCATCTCTCCTCCATTCGCCTTCTGTCTCTCATCCTCCGGGCCTTTCATGTGCTGATCTCGCTTCACCGTTTATGGCTGCTGTAAACAGTGTATATCTCAGAGAGTTCAACCAGAATGTAAAGCTGTTGTTCAAACTGAGTTTTGTACATTTTGGTGAAGAGTCATGTGTTGCATTGGTTTTCTATGGATATTTTGTAGTGTTGTTTTTTCTGGGTCATGCTGTGTCATGTGGGTTGGGCTATGTTTGATACTGAATGTCTGAATGTTCTGCATATATAAATGTTTTTTTTGACAGAAGATTTTGTCTTTCACTGCCCCCCACACACACATACACAAACTGAACACACAAGGAAGAAACACAACTTCTCAACTCATCTTTTAAAGATGTTTTTATATTTTTTTTATTTTAATCATTCACTCATGTACAAAAACAATTTCATGTTCTCTGAAAAATAACAATGGCTGTTGGGTTTCAAATGCATAATTCTCCTATGTACAATAGCATGTAAGTAGATCTTATCCGTGTATTTTCATATGTACAAAGCATATACAGGCCAGTGCCATATAAAGGGAGATACTACAGACTTATTGCTTAACTAGATACGCTGCAAATTAGCTTATACACTCTCTACATTTAACTCCTTATACGTTATCTTATATGGCAAGCACTACTTCACATTCTATATGCAAACAGAGAGTTAAGACGTTAATCAATCGTTGCACAAATGTTTACAGGGACAAAAATGAGCCAGAGTTGGTGGTGCGGCGATGATATCACATAAGATTGAAATGTGGCTCAAAATTGTTGCATGAAGCTAAAATACTTACATCCATTTGAAAGTTGTAACAAGGACTCACACACACACACACTTTTCTCTACAACAGTTTTTGAACTTGTGGGTATCACTGTGCTTCTTACAGTAGTTACATTTCTCAGCATTGCATTAGAGGCCAGGCTGGATTAAGATACGTGTAACATATCATGGTGTTAATATCTACAGGCCGCATACGTGTGTGTGTGTTTTGTGTGCTCTGTACAACAACCAGTATCTTCCTTTCACTCGGAGTGCAAGTGCCTTTCCTTTATCATGCTAGAAACACGTTAAACACAGTAAATTCACATAGCAGAAAATGTAGAGGCAGTTCAAGTGACAAGACTCACAGCCTTCATTGCCCTTATTGAATCAGCCCCTGTAAAGCCAAACAAGGCTACATGTGCAGTAAATTATACTCATGGTAATTACAATGTGCTTCATCATTATTTATTTGGAGCCCTGTACTAAGCTTAGGGGACCGTTGGAAGCTGCCTTTGTCATCATGTGAACAGTAGATCCCAGTGGGGATTTCTGGGGCTGATATGGACACCAGTATTTGGTAGTAAAATAAAAATACTGATGATATGATGTAACTTGTAAGTCTGAGTGCTGTAAACAATGGAATCTGGACAAACTAATGACACAGTTGGTATTAAATCATCTTTTACTGCATTATTACTGTAAATTTATTGCATATCAGCCAACATATAACCAACACCACTTTATCTTATTATTAGCCATTAATCCTTGCCATCTGATGTATTTGTCCAGCGGTAGTGAATAGGTAGTAGTTTGAATTTATATCATGTGCTCTTTTCCACATCTTTGTTCTCCTGTGCTTTTCTTCTCTATTATTTGCTCCTTTTAATTCCCCCTTCTGTTATTTGCGTCACTTGTTCACACCTGGTTATGTTTGAAGTTTAAAGGTTTACAGAATATTAATTTGGCATGAAGATTCAACTGACATTGAAGAGTCTGGACCAGATTTGAGCATGGCAAGGAAAGTGTCAAAAAGTGTCTCTCGCACATGTGCGCGGAACACACACACACACACACACACACACACACACACACACACACACGTACGTTTGTTCCTTTATCTCCGTGGGGACATCTCATTGTCATAATGCATTCTCTAGCCCCTTATCGTAACCTTAACCATCACAACTACATGCCTAACCTCAATGCTTACCCTAACCTTAACCTAATTGTAACCTGAACCCTAAATCCAAGTCTTAACCCCCAAACAGCATCTCTACCCATGGGGATCTCAATTTTTGTCCCCATAGCGTGCATTCAGGTTAAAGTCCCCATAAATCACACACACACACACACACTGATGAAGCTGGCATTTTTCTATATTTTTCTTATTGTCAACAAATCTCATGAGCCATTAGCATGTTTTAATACTGAGTCACGTCTTCCGTCACAATACATTTGGGTACTATATGAACAACATACATAGTCCTGGTGCTGTAAATACTCACTGGAGTGAAAAATATGTATTAACCCATGGCTGAAAATAGTCCCCAACTGTTGCACTATTTACTCTTGTTTGAGTAATACAACATACAGTGTCCAGCTGTTTTAGGAAATTATTTGGCGATTTTTTATTTTTATGAAACTACACCTCTGTCTGTCAAGCAATACAGAAGTATCTGCTGTCGTACCACTAGACTACAGAGCAGCTCAATAAAAATGGAGACTCTGCGATACCATGACAACTCAGCAAACCCTGTCATGTGAAATGATGCATCCAAAACAGATATTAAATTGACCTTGTGGTGAGATTGTTCCGTAAACTGCTGTTTCCAAGGCCAAGAATGTACTTTCAAACTCAATAAACTTCATATGTTACTTGTTTTTAAAAGAGAACTTCACTGATTTAGTATTTTACTCCTATAACAGTGTCTGCCGAAAACAAGGATGTAAATTCATGTAGCAGAACCAAAGATATTGTCTTTTCCAGTCCACACATTCCTCTTTCTTGTCAAAACCTGGTGCCTACATTACCCACAATACAACTTTTCCGGGCGACAGTTCGGTCAGAGATTAAGGTGTGTTGTGCTAGTAGCGGTAATGTTGAGCTGCTAGTCTCAGGCAGAGATGAGGTGCGGGCTACAGGGGTCTGGTAAGCTCATTCTGTCTAACTCACATATTTTTATTTTCATACATCTTCATCTAGTCTTCCTCCCCCACTGACACTAACTCAAGTGACATCACCTCAGGTTATCTTCACACAGCTCCCCCTAGAGCCAAAGAAGGCTTTCTACGACTTTATTCACTTATGGAGTAGCAGTTCCAAAGACCTCTAAACATACTTTGATGTGTAAAATTAGTGGAGCTCCCCTTAAAAAGATCTATGTCTATAATAGGAGTGAAACAGCCACAAACAGGGCAGGGAAGTCAGAAAGTAATAAACAGTCAAACACATTATTGAACCCAAATACAGAATAAAACCAGCTTGATCCATGACAACACGCTTTATCCAGGCATTTGAACATTTTGAAACACAATACTAAAATTCACATCTACGCACGCTCATTCTCACTCACTCACTCACGCCACAACAACGTTAGAAACACCGGTATCTAGACTGGACTTGTAGGTGAGAGTGACCCCTACAAATGTAAGAAACGTCAACATTCATGAGGCGATAGTATGGATTCCCTCTGATCATTTGGATTGATCCTCAGTGTGGGCGGGGCTACCCTCTCCCTCAGGTTCTGATAGATCCTTGTTCAGAGATGGACTCCCCTGCTCTTGCTCTGTTTCGTCCAGCTCAGGAGTGTGGGTGGGGGGGTCATAGTCACAGGCCAGCTCTGATTCCTCAGTGTGGGAGGGGCTGCAGTCAAAAGTGAACTCTGATTGGTCCTCTGTGAACGAGGGGCTTTCCTGGAGCACCGACTCTGACAACTGATTTGTGATGTCACCGGGGCTGGTTTCAAACTGCAAATTCGATTGGTCCGAGAAGTTGACAGGGATCTCTTTGTACGGGAGATCTGGATGGTCCTCCACGTCAGGAGGGTTGGGTTCCCGTGGTAATGAGAGTCCCCTGTGGCGGATGCACAGCTTGTGTAGTTCTGTTACCTCAGATACGTTTGTGCTGTTCCCACAGTCACGGAAACTGGCCAACGGAGGGCGCACTTTAACCCCTGTCACAGTCACTGAGCCCTCTATGGCTTTACGCAGCTGGAGATACAGAGCCACAGCCAGTAGGAACAAAACCAAGACAGCAGAGCCAGTGGAAGTCAAAAAATGAGGTAAAAAAAAGAGAAAAGGCAACAAGCATTAGTGATCATATACAGAAAACATTCTCATATCAGAAGCTTTAACAATTGAAGGAAACACACCTCTTTGAGAGAGACCACTCCAACCAGACGCCCCATGCTGGTTACATAGGCGTGATCCAGACCCAACAGAGAGAAGATAGTGTGAGTCTGTGGAGGAAGAGGAGAGGTGGGTCATGGCCTGGATACAGACTCAGAGAAGGGTTTCCTTTGCATTTTGGATCAGGATTATGGAAAATGTTAGACCAGAGTCAGACAACATAATATTTTTTGCATTGTCAGATGGTCACTGTGTCAGACTAGGCGGACTACACTTTGGACACCAACCCACCCTTAGGTAATAACAGTTTTATGAATGAAAGTGAAACTGAAACCATTTAAGGTTCACTCTGCACTGGAGGTGGGCTTTGTGTTTTTTCCTTTCCAGTTGGTAGAAATAGGGTGAGCGTGCAACAATCAGAGGTTGTGATTTATTTGGAGTAATGCTCCTGACCCAAGAGTCACCGTTAAATGGTTACAAGTACACTAAAATTAACTTTCACTTCACAATGTTCACAGGAAAAGTGCTTTGTACTGTTGGTAACTTCACAAAAAGTCAGTTTGTGTAGCCCGCTCTGTCTAGAAAAATGATATGTCTTGTTAACAGCGGAAAGTGTCAGCTACACATCGTTATTTCTAACTGTATTTTATTAATTTCCCAACATGTATTGCTTTCATTTTTCACACACAGTTCTGTTGAATCCTCTCTTAGAGCTTTCCTGGCACAGAATGGAAAGCATAATCAGTAACTAGAGGTGTGTCTCTGTCAGCTGCCTGGCTTGCTCACTCTCTAAATTTGAATAATAACCTATAATGCATAACAACGACCATCTGTATCAGTGTTTTACAAAACACTTCAGCATAATATTTCTATAATCTTATTGTATGACAACAACAAGCGCTTCACTAAAAGTATGCTCTGTGTGGGACGCACACTCCCTACACATCAAATATGGGAAGGAGGGCTGATTTCAGGCGCAACTGCTCAGTTAAAATGCCCAGCAGCAAACTAAAATGGTCACAGCAGTCTGATGGCAGAAAATCATGTCTGCTTCCATAATCACTGCTCCTCCTGCTGGATAGATAAAGCATTGCAGTTGGTTTCCACACATGGAGCTCAGGAGCGTTAAGAGTTGGGGCTGCGTTGGGGGGTATATCAGTGGTATATAAGTAGCTAAATTAGCCCAGCTGCAACAATAAAAGTGATGTGCACATTAATACATCTATAATTATAATCCATTATTATTCTGAATGTATAGCTTTTACTTTTTCTACACTGCGGCATTGCTACTTTTACATAAGCAAAAGAGCTGAGTACTTCTTCCATCACTACACACTCATGGGATGAAAAATTAGCACCTGATGCCCTTTTTTGAGTCATTAGCTACGCACATTCGTTCAAAGAACTGTCGACCGTTTACATACTCAACAGGCTTTCATGGACCTCATAACTTTCATGGACCTCATAACACCTGCAGTGTTAGTGCCATGTCACATATGTTAAGCTGTAACACCAGAAAGGTTATAGTGGTTAAACTCACAATGAAACTACATATGAAATGTCCACCTGTAACAGGGCTCAGTGAGGTAACTGCTAAATATATTGTCAGAAATTAAAAACACTGGTTAAAATAGATAGGGTTGGCACATTTTATGGGAATTTATTGTTTATTATCATATATGATGAGGAAAATAGGATTCTATGGTAAAAAGGTTAATTTAATCTTACAGTTTGTTCAGGGCTTTTCATTGATGTTCTACCTTATGCAGGAGATGTTTGTTCCACCAGCTGGAAGGGGGCGGGATCAATCTTGCAGTTATTGAAATCCACCGGCTCATCGAGCTGCTGCTCCTCCCACTCTGCTATCTGCAACCAGAAGGATGACAAGACACTGAAGCTTCTGAACTTTAAATTGTAAAACAAATTTTTGCATATTTTCTGTTAGTGTGGAGTCTCACGTCTGATGGGCTCATGCAGTCTTCCACTTCAGTAGAGTCCTAAAAGACAAAATGCAGTAAGACATACATTGTCCCTGTTTATACACACAAAGGTTTATATACAGAAAGTGCGATTGTACACGCAAACTCCACACAATTATGTACACTAAATATTCATAGTGTACCAACACATACACATTAACACATGGATCTGTCTATTTGTTGGTGTCAGTGTGAAATACAGAGCTGTAACCTAATAAATCACTTTCCGCTTTTCCAAGGTAAAGGTGAGGAAAAGTTTGTTTTATGGGTCAAAAGTAAAAAAAACTAAGAATAAAGCACCTTTAAATAAAATACAAAACAAATTCTTAAAGACACATAATCACACACAAAACAAGCACAAACCATCAGTCAAATCAGTTTATAGTGAAAGCTGATTTGACATTTTGTTTAACAAGTTTATTTTGAAAAGACAAAACCTTTCCCACTTTCTCACACAAACACTTTCTCTCGCTCTCTCTGCAAAGCCACTCTAATGCTCTGGTTGGTGCACCACAAATATTTTGGCCCCGCACTCATTACGTGTGTGTCGCAAGGCAACGGTTACTAAGCAACAGTCTCTAGGCGGCAGACAATCTTACCGCCATGGAGATCCTCACTCGTTTGGGCTTGAGCTTTCTTTTGTCAGGAGGAGCCGGCCCAGCCGGGCTCTTCCAGTTGGGGAGAGAAGGCATCAACACAGCACAACATTAACATAGCATCAGGTACTGGACAGTTTTAGCCCCTTACATGTTGTCACCGCAACATTGGATCCCAGTGTGACTTCTACTGGGAGAAGTCCCTGTGATGTGAGCACAATGTTGCTGAAAGGGTATAATTGCTACACCATAGATGAAGGTGAGGGCAGAAGATCTGCACAAGAAACCCAATGTTAATACAACATTGGATGGTATACACTGCCAGAATAAAGGTTTCTGAACACCTTACATTTTAACATTTTTGTTAAGCACTTTGAGCCCTTGTGTTTTCTCTTTAATATCCCCTTAAAGGTTCAGTGTGTAATATTTAGGAGGATCTATTGACAGAAACTGAAACTATGTTTTCAGTGGTAGTGAACCGTTATGTTTTATGTATTACCTTAGAATGAGCCATTTCTATCTACATACACCGCGGGTCCTCTTACATGGACTTCACCATGTTGCGCCGCCATGTTTCTACAGTAGCCGAAAGGATAAACTGCTCTTCAGAGCGTGTTTTGTCACTACGTTGAAAACGTATGAAGAAAATGAGAATACCAAGTAGTAGTAGTAGTCGTCTGGTTAGACGACTTAGAAATTAAAGAAGAGGAACTTGGACAAATGGAGAACCACACGTATTATTTAGCATAAGAGCTGACAGACGTGTCAGTGTGGCTTGTCCTGTTCTCTTGCAAAGGGAGGATTGAGCCGTTAGTTGCAATTTGCAACCCTCACCACTAAATGCCACTAAAACTTACACACTGAACCTTTAAGTAGCTTTAAGGTTGAAAAAACCCATCATTTTCTACACTGACAGGATCACACACACTATTAAATCAGCTTGTTGCAGCTCTTTGCTGAACCATTGTTTTTGGTTTCTAGTGAAATGTCTCGACAACTATGGATTACCATGACATTTCATATATATATATATATATATATATACAGTGAGGAAAATAAGTATTTGAACACCTTTCTATCAGCTAGAATTCTGACTCTCAAAGACCTGTTAGTCTGCCTTCAAAATGTCCACCTCCACTCCAGTTATTATCCTAAATTAGATGCACCTGTTTGAGGTCGTTAGCTGCATAAAGACACCTGTCCACCCCATACAATCAGTAAGAATCCAACTACTAACATGGCCAAGACCAAAGAGCTGTCCAAAGACACTAGAGACAAAATTGTACACCTCCACAAGGCTTGGTTGGGATAACAGCAGACCAATTGCACATGACTGCTATGACCGGTTTGGACCTCTCGTAAATTGTGTTTGTGAAGCAGAGTTGGCACCGTGGCCTGCCAGCCTTAAAGTTGGGGTGCGTAATGTTAGATCAACTAGCAAGAGACTGCTAGATTTTGAAAGTATCCAACCAAAAAAAAACCCAGACCCTGTCCCTGAAGCCTCGACGACAGGGTGTGCGCAGGTAGGCAGATAGACAGGCAGAAGGATCAGCCTATCACGAACAGCATGAAATAATTATAAAATGATTGGCTGTGCTTATTACAGTCCTGCAACAGCCACAGATACCGGATTTTTTTTATTCAGAGCATTTGTTTTATTGATTGCGGTCTGGATGTACAGCAAATTTTAATAAATATAACAAAAATGCTTCTGAAATAAATGACCTACTACAGCTTTATTTAATAAACTCAGATTTGAGTTTATTCAGCACTGTTTTGTCCGTTATGTATCTTCCATTTAGCCAGGGTCTTAACACTGATGGTTAGCATTTAGCTCAAAGGACAGCTGCGCCAAAGTACAGTCTCACAGAGCTGTTTGTGTGGCTGAAGACTCTCAGTGCTGTCCATTAACACAACAGAAACTAATGAGAAACGCGTGCTAAGAAACACAGCGTTGATAATCCCTGATAATGTTTTAACAATGCATTATACCGCCCATGACCCTGTCGTTGGATCACAGCTTTTCCTTCCTTGGACCACTTTTAATAGGTACTGACCACTGCATATTTGGAGATGCTCTGACCCAGTCGTCTAGCCATCACAATTGGGCCCTTGTCATACTCGCTTAAATCCTTATGCTTGCCCATTTTTCCTGCTTTTAACATCAACTTTGAGGACAAAATGTATACTTGCTGCCATGACAGGTGCCATGGTAACGAGTCGTAATCTTCAGGCTAATCTGTGAAATATTTAAACCCTAGACTTTTTTGGCTGCATCATTCCATCAAATGGAAATATTGTTTCCCCCAAACTGGTCCTGACATACAGTATTTGATATCTGTAAACTTTGGGATCTCTACTAGAATTAGAATAAAGTTCTGCAGGTTTGATCAAAGTTTAAAGGGTTAAAGATAGACAAAATATTTTTTTAACCACACTCCATGACACCATTACGCATTGCTCAAAATGCAACCCAAAACGCTAAAAATGTAGGATGTTCAAAAAGCATTTGACTAGCAGTGAATGTGTTGTGGACTGAGGGGGGCAATGACTCACATAAGTTTTAAAACAAATATCCACGACCACAGCATGAGATCACACAGGAAAACCCTGCTGCCTGTGGGTGGAAGAGGAGGAGGAAGAGGAGGTGGACGGCATATGTGTGGACTCAGAGAGAGCACACACACCCACGCATACGGTACGTCACATTCACACAGTACACTTGCACCCACACATATATTATATCCTTATCTCTTTCTTACTGTTGCCCTCACCTCCAGCAGCTCCTTCTCTTGGTCAGCACAGGAGAGGGTCTGCGAGCCTCGGGGAGAAAACACAAATCAGTTTTCATTCGATTTGGATCTGAAATACAACTTTTTTAAATCAGTTTTTCTCAGTATCAGTGTTTATGCAGTGGTGTAAAGTACATACTATTTGGCGTCTCTGTGTCGCTGATGGCAGACACAGTTTTCAAAGCTGATTTCAGAGGAAGCTGAACATTGGAAACCACTGGGCTGAAGGAGGAAGACTCCTCTGTGGAGATCTACATGGAAAAAATATTAACAGAGGAAGCCAGAAACAAGCATGCGCACACACACACACACACACAGCAGAAAAGACAAATACGAGCACATGCACATAAACAGGACAGCACAGGTAAAGGCACAGACGACATAGACACAGAAGACATGTGTTAATGTAAAAATAAAGGACATTTACACACAGTTTGTTACCACTTACCACAACAGCTGTCCAAAAACTCCATCTGTGCCTTTACCTACTGCTACATGCCTCACACATGCTGTGTCTGATCTACTTTTACTCTACTGCTACAACCCAAACCAAGCCAGACTTCGCCCCAGCCCAGCCCTGGAGCCCCCGTACGCCTCACACCTGTTGGGTGCTCACCAGGAAGCGGACCACTTGGCGAGTGTTGGTGTTGGGCGAGGCGTTGATCTGGGTGTGGCCGCATGGGGAGCTCGGGGTGCTGTCGGTGGTCAGGCTGGGCAGGTGATCTTGGGTGCCGTTGTCCTGGGCCAGCTGGCGGAGGTACTCCAGCCTCCGCTGATGGCCCAGCTGAAGAGAGAGCAGAGACTGGAGCTGCAGTCGCTCTATGGAGCCCAGCAGGATCATGGAGTCTGAAGGAGAAGGAGGGAAGAAATGGCAATTTGTAGGGAGTGAGACAAAGGTGGCAATGTGGACAAAGCTCATAGAGGTAAAAGTGGAACTTAAAATAACTGTTATGAAGGCATTGTGGCAGTTTGAGTAAGCATTTAGAACTGCATATACATAATTACAAGTTTATTAGGTACACCTAGCAAAAACAAATGCAGTCAAGTAATATATCCTCCCTTGATCAAGGTTTTTGTTGAAACTGTTATATACTGATTCAACTGTGTGATCATTTTGGATGATGTTTGTGAATCTGTACAAATGTATTGTGTTATAGTAAAATGTCTTATAGTAATATAATATATAAGAAAAAGGGGCAATTTTGTTTCAACTGCTTCCAAAGCAATTAAATAACTGAATCCTCTGTCATGAATAGGGATGGGTATCTAAACTGTAAATGTGAGTTTTCTTCTGGACTCATTAATGGAACAACAGTTTCAGTTCACTTGGTCTATTTTATTTAGTCCACTTGTGTTTTGACACAATTTAAATTGATCATTTTGGCTTGTTATGTTTAAAAAAAAAAAAGGAATGTCAAGAAAAATATGAATTATTTTCATATTATAAAGTCAAGTTTTATTTTGGTTTCTGTACTGAAATGCAGGTATTATATCAGCACTAGCATCAAAACATTTCTAACAAAACCAGCCCTAGTCCATTTTCTGCACTAGTATCAAGTTGAACCATGAAAGATGGATTTTCTTATATACCTCTGGATTCAACCAGGGCCAATGTTTTGAGCTGACCAGTCAGCAGCATCTCCTGCAGGTCTCGATAGGAAGAGTTAAGTGTGATATAGCGCACGTCCCTGACCATGATGTCCTCCACACGGATATTGTACTTCCTGAAACATGGAAGAAGGGATGAAGAAGATAGAGGTTAAGTGAAGAGAAAGGGGAGTGGGAAAATGAGGAAACAAGAGTGGGAAGGAAATTAAATGCAAGAGAAACTTTTTTTTTACAACAAAATAAAGAAACAAGAGACAACTCCATCCTCAGCATTTAAACAAACAGGTGGGTAATTTTAGCACTGCAGACAAAGACTCACTCATGATGGCCCATGCCCAGTTCAGGCAGATAAGGAAGTTTCTTGATGCGGATGATGGAATCGTACAGAGATGGTTGGAGCGACTGGGCCACAGCGTTGGCCAAGATCACAGCGATCATCACAGGCAGGATGTGGGAGATCTGACCAGTCAGCTCAAACACTATGACTGCTGTGGATACAGTGTGGGTGACTGCTCCAGACAACGCTGCAGCTCCTGTGTAGGAGGGAAGTGAATTAAAGAAAAATCTTTCTCTTATGTCTAGTGTCTTTAAAGCCATTTACGTGCAGTTAATAGAGGAGGAATTAGTGTGTGATCAGGAATGTTTTTAACAGAGATTAAAACATTTGATTGTTCAGTATGCAATATTAAATGTGCTAACTAAGTGTTATTAATCACACAACAGTTTACTACAAGTCAGCAAATCCAAACAAGATGTTCTCCCCGGATGCCATTCTAATTCATAACATTTAACGCCATCCTGTCACACTAACCAGTGAGTCACAGCCGCGGCAAATTAGTATTCAACGTTTTTTTTTTTTTACTTCCGTCCAAAATGTGGTGTTCAACTTAAGTGGAATCAGTTTTATCAGTCACATTCTATAAGCTGGTATGAAGTGATAAAAATGGCTACAGCTTTGATGTGGCATCGATTTCAATCACAAAGGAGACAGGGAAATGTGGCCTGAAAATTTGTTATCAAGGCAAATTAGATACAAAATGGTGAATAAAAGTACAGTGTGTAAATACAGATGTAGAGCAACTCACCGACTACAGCGTAACCACCAGGAACTATGGGATACACACTGCCGTCAGCATGTATGCCATCAGGAAACATGGATGCCATAATCTCTCCAACAAGTCTGCCAAATGCTGCACCTGTATGTCAGACACAGATTCAGCAGGAAATTATTTCAAGGGGCTCTTACCTCTGCAGGAGAAACATAGAAACCACAGTCGATTTAATTCACCGATTAGAAAAACTGGCATGAAGGCCCCACATGGGACAGGCATGGTGGTGGCCACAGCGGACATCCAGAACTGAAAAAGAGAGACGGCGAGAGTGTGTGACAACTCGTAAAAAGTCACCCAATCCTGCACATTTTCTGGACATATTTTGAAGGCCTACCTTCATGATGATGAAGAGGATGAGTGTGATGAAGACGTTGACCTGGGGGTGTTTCCAGGCGTGGTGGTGGCTGATGTAGTCAAACTCCTCTGCCACGCCCTGACGGCACCACGTGCGGTTGTCGAACAGCGCGACCAGAGACTCATGCTGCGTCAGCTGACAGGTCAGCACAAGGAAAAAAAATCGTCTTTGTCTGTTTTCTATATTATGTCCCATAAGGACTCCCTTAATGATAGCATTATTGGCGCAAGTGTATTATCCTGGGGAAATAAAGCATTGAATGGAGTTCAGCCTTACTTGTCATCATTGCACTGTGAAGATACTCAATTTAAACTCATCATCTCAACTCGTCATTTTGGGTGTAATTTACTTTTAAAATTCTTGATTTTCCAAAGCAAGTGAAAAAAACAAGTTCAACTATCTTGATGCCAGTACAGCAAGCTGTCTTGTATCCTATTCTGTTTTGTGTCAGGATTTTGCCATAAATGAGTGTCACCCTCTGAAAACAAGGATAACAGCACGGGGGGGGGGAGATTATATTGTCTCAACCCACTGGCAGATTTTCCCCCTTGTTTTGAGAAACTGAAAGGCTCAAAACTTAAATGGCTTGCAGGACGATTTTGCAGCGCGGCACAAAAATTGTGTGCTCTGCAGATCTGCCTAAAAAAAACAACCTCAAACTAAATTTTGCTTTGTTGTGTCAATTGTTAAATGTTTCCAATGGCAACACAAGTTGTCTGCATCCACTTAATTTGAACCAGAGGCTTGGTTTTATCTGTGTACAGATAATGCTATGTTGCTTCTAACACATCTTTTATAGTAACTCTTACCATTCATCAACTGAGAACCATGAGTATAAAAGCCTTATTATAAAATGATACTAACATTATGACAACAAACATCAATTTTCTGTTGGTTGCATTTGTTTAAAAAGAATAAATAAAAATAAAGTAAATAAATATTAGTTTTTTATTTTGATAACATATTTTAAGAATTTATATCTACACATATGCTCTTTCAGTTGTGACTCGGTCATTATACTAATCTATATCAGGAAACATGACAGCTATTAAACAGCTCATGCTGTCATATAAGAAAGGCACAAAATGACCCAAACATGACACCAACTCTCACTTCATTTAAAATTACCATCAATCATCTAACAACAGTCATGACATGCTTTCATACCGCCATAAGAGTGTGAAAGAATTTTCTCACCTGTCCAGCCATGAACTGCCCAAAGCCTGGAGGGAACGTGAGTGTGGAGATCAGCAGGGTGACGAGTGCGGGATACACCAGACGCCTGACAGGAAGAGATGGACTGCAGGGTCATTAATGGGTGAGCCTGTCACACTGTATGTGCATACTTGATTGCTGGGTGGTGAGGATGGAAGAACTATAAATAGCTCCTTGTGATGTGTGGAACTGACCCAATTCATACAAGGACTTCACCTAAATTCCCCAGTATCACATTAACATTGTGACATAAGACACCAAGTCGATTTTAAATACAAGTTTAGGGGCACACAAGCAGGATTTTGATCCTTCTTGGGTTTAATTACAGTTTAACTGGTTCCTGTGTTGCATTTCTAGATGCATTTTGCATATTTATTTTAATTTTAAAGGGAAAGAAAAATCAACATTTTGGTAAATACATATATTTCCTTGGTGCAGAGAGTTAGATAATAACAACAATAATAACAATTATTATTAGAGCTAGATAAGAAGATCGATACCACTCTCAGCTTTGTCTGTTAAATATGAAGCTAAAGCCACCAACCAGTTAGCTTAGCACAAAGACAAGAAACAGCTAGCCTGGCTCTGTCCAAAAGTAACCAGCACCTCTAAAGCTCACTAATTAACACATTATATCTTGTTTGTTTTATTCTGTACAGAAATCAAACTGTAAACGGTTGTGGTTTTTACTGGGGTTCATATGATAACTTCGAACACAGCCAGGCTAGCTGTTTCCATCTATTTCCAGTCTTTTCCTTGCCTTTGTGCTAAGCTAAGCTAACGTCTCTGGGCAGTAGCTTCACCCTTACCGTAAAGACATGAGATTGGTATTGATCCTCTCATCTAGATCTTGGCAAGAAAGCAACAAAAAATGTCAATCCAATAAAGTGTAAAAGTTCTGTGTAACATCAGGGATCAGATACTCACTTCCTCAGCAAGAACTTGTTGATAGTCTTCTGTTTCCTCATGCACTCTACAATCAACCGGTTCAGGAAGACAAACAGAGCACCACCAAAACCACAGGTAATCCTGTAAACAGAGAAAGACACACATGTTTGGTCTGTTGGTGAAGAGCATCCTGGGACACAAATCTACAGTTTTACTGTGCCTGGGTAAGTCAGTCACTTTTCTGGGGTTCAGAAGCCAGCCAATGTTAATGTATTATTTTTCTCTATTAAAACATCATTCAATAATAAAATAATAATATATATATATATATATATATATAATAATAATAAATATTCAATCAAATCATCAAATTTGGCACATGATGATCTGGATACAGCCTCTACTTGTTATCAACAGAGTAAAAAGTTAATTTTCAACATTCAACGAATACAAATCAATCTTCAGACTCGACAGGAATGTGAATGTGACTGTGACTATGAGGAGACTACAGTGAGAGAGAGAAAGATCTCTTCAGTAACTTCAAACAGCTTTGGGATCAGTTTCATGTGGCGTCAGTCCAGAGTGCTCACCCGAGGATGGCGAACGCTGGCAGCTCCTGAAGGTCAAACGGGAAATCCAGACGGAAACGAGTCTTAAAGAGAGCAGTGATGGTCTCTGAGGAAAAAGAGTATTGTTTTCATCCTGTGCAGACCGTACAGCAATATGTCAAATATATCACACTGACTTTTGAAAGGAACTGGACATTAAGCGCTAAATAAATGTTTATATTGGTATACTGTATTAAAATACCGGTTTATAAATACAGAATGCTATAATCACATGGCAATTCAAACAATATTATTATTAACTAATATCAACCTTTGTCCCATTGAATTGACTAATAATATAAAGTATAACAAAACTAAACATTTCCAGTAATATTCCTTAACTTTTGCCAGATCTATTTTTGAGAGAAGACAGATAGCATCAAAAACACATCGTAGCACGGGTAAAGTCAGACACAGATGTGGAATAAGGACTTTTACCTTCCTCCTGGTTCCACACAGCCAGCACTCTGAATATGAAAGCACTGAAGGTGGCAGCAAAGAAGCCCCTCCAGTAGTTTCTCACCGCAAAAAACGTTGAAGTGACCTCAATACTGAACAGCACCCCTGCACCACACAAACAAACACACTTACTAGACATTTCCATTCAAAAACGTTTTTCAAGAAATGGTTTAAACAGCAATTTCAGAACAGAAAACTTGTCCTAATAGTGGCTAAAGGTGACTAAAATGATAAGGGTCCATTACTGTTTACAGCACAGTTTTTAAGGTCAAGAATTAACATTTAATTTTAGCTTTTAGGACAACATGAACAAGAAGTTGTTCACTAAGAAATGTGATGAAAAGGATTAGCTGTTAGGATTCATCATTGGAATCATAATCCCTAAAATCACAGATGACCACCGCAAATTAATTTATCTAGAAATCTTGACATGGATCTAGGTTTGGATCAAAGGTCATTTGATGGTCGACAGTGGGTGGCTCTTTAGCTGGCAAGTGCTCCACTATTGCCTCTTTTCATGGTACCAGCTCGACTCGCCTTGACTCTACTTTTTTGGTTTTCCATCGGGGAAAAATTGGACCTGTACCTGGTACTTTTTATCGTACGCCAGCAACAGAAAGTTTTATATTTTACAATTTTCATATGGTATTTTATCACCAAATCCACTTCTGAGAAGTTTTGAGGCGAGAAATCAACTGGACAAAATTTGGGATCAGTTTGGTGGTTTTTAACAGTAGCATTTTATAGGTAATTTAAAACAAAACCTAATAGTGTATGTACTCCATCCAATCAATAATCATTATCATAGACCGCAACGCCCACTTCAAAGTCACGTTGCTCGTGGTACTAGACAGCTCAGCAGACTGTACATAGCTCCACAAGCTGCGTTCAGATGTTCAGCTGTTTTCTTCAGCAACCTGTTCTGCAACTAAAAGTAAAAACACTTGTCTGTCTGGATTAAAGTTTTGGATAGCGTTCCTTTATCGTTTTGTCGCCATGGTAACTATCACACACACACACACCCACACCCACCCACTCCGTTGGCACTGCGCTAAAAGTCAGTCAGTTATCCAAAATCCAAAATGAAGTTAAAGCATGTCATGTCATTAGATGAAATAAAATTGACTTGCAAAAATTCATGAGTCGCCTTACAAACGAATGTGGAGGATATTGTCATTTCACTGTAAAGTTTTGATGGCGCCATTTATTTATAAGGAGGGCAACACTCCAGTCCTGCAGGTGGTGCTAATGCACCTAAAACGGTTTATTTATGTATGCATTACCTGTCTGTGTTTTTTTTTTTTTTTGTAAAATATGTATGTAAATGTAATGTACGTAATGTAGGAAAGGAAACGTGGAAGTTAAAATACTGAAATAAATACTGATAACAGTGTGCGTTTTGGTGGCTTTTGAACAGTTTTTTGGCTGGAATTCAGCTGGATCTGGCAACACTGCCCTCTGGTCCCACAGTCACACAGACCACTGCAGCCAACGCACAGGACAACTCCACCAACAACAGCAGAGGAAAACACAGCTGCAAGACTTTCATATGGCTTATCTGTCTTTACATTCTGAGTATTGTTGAAACATTTTAACTTAAATCAAGAGACAGCTGATGGGTGTGTGTCATGCTTTAAATTACATTGCGGCAGTTGTGTGTGCCGTTGTTATGACGACCAGCTACATACTATCTCTGGGTACTATCTGCAATGGAAAATGGAGGCGGACCAAAAACCGGTCGAGTTGAGCTGGTACCAGCAATGGAAAAGAGACTAATGTTTACCAGCTAGTTGCTGTCTGTCTGATGTTTGCTGATGGGCATGTAGTGTATAGTGGGGTTTTAGGGTTTTTTTACTGAGCAGTGGACCAAAACACTAAAGTTGCAGGTTGTGCAGATAAACGATGAGCTCAAATTCGCTGCCACAGACTCATGAGATATTTCTCTTTAGGTTCATCACTACGAGCTAACTTGTAACTTTAAATTAAATTGTTTTCACACGCATTTGATACAATGTCATTATAAAAAATATCGATCGGTACTTTAAAGTGTTGATGATACTATGACATGAATATTCATGTGAATCTGACCACATTGCTCTGAATCACAGCATTATATACATGGATGGACTGACCGAGATTGGCACCCGCTCTCCTGCTAGTGGGGTAAATATTCTCCTCTTCTAATTAGCTCCCATAGTAAGACAGCATTCAATCAGAGGCTGCAGCCATGCTGTCTTACCTCCAATAGGGGCAGCAAAGCAGCAGCCCACACCCACTGCACAAGCAGCCGACAGCATCTCTGTGTTCCTCAGCTCGTTCTGTCCGACAAGAATCAGATATACACACAGACAAATCCCAACAGGTGTCCATGTACGTGCAAATGCCACAAACACACAATACACATCAAATGCATTTCTCGTGAAAACATCAAGTCACCTGCTGTTTACAAATGCAGTTTTACTGTAAAGCTACTGCTGGATCTTTTCACATTCAATGAGATTACATATATAAGCAGGGGTATACATGGGAGGCCATAACTGAAAAACCCAGGATTGAGTGTCGAAATCATGGAATGAGATGTCTGTATAGAAGCAAAGGCAGCACAGATCAATGCCTCACTGTGACGCTTCACTGAACACAATCAAACAGCACAGACAAATGGAAAGGCATCAATCTATCTCAGCTTCTGAAATGGATGGCATGGATTATTAATGTTGATGAAATTGGCAATAAAGAAACTATCTGACTCGTGCATTCATACCTTGCTTCCCTCAAAGGGCTCTTCCTTTAGCAGGGAGAGTGAAAAACAAAAAGAAAGAAATATGTTTGAGTGCAATCTGTGCGAGTGTAGAGGTTACCTTTAATTTCTGCTCCTGGAAGACATCCAACTTATTATCCAAACCAAACAAAAACCACACTAGCAGAGAATGAGCTTCTGCAAACAGTCTTGAATCCACAGTGAACTGAATTCACATTTTTCACCAGACTGATTATGTTTAACGATTGTCGAACCCTGGACTATTTCTGTCTTTCTAACTGTGCTGACATGAGTTTTTCTTCCTCCACTCCTCAATGCGGGCTTTCTTCCTCCATACTGATGGCGAAGCCGGTGCTGTTGGTACATGGAGGAGAAGCACAGCACACTGTCCAGTGTAGAAATAGACACAAGCCCACGTTGTGGTCTCACATGAGTGGAGGTGAGAGTGAGTCCTGGGGGGTGGCAGAAAGTCAAAGAAACATAGAAGACCTTTTAAAGAACAACTGTGATTGTGTGTGTGTGTGTGTCTTTCTTGCAGCTTCACACATCTGAGTGCCCATCCTCATTTTTTTCCCCAGCAACTATGGAAAAAATATCAACCCTAAAACAACAACATAAATCATCAGTGGTAAACGTTGCGATTTTGGTTCTTCAAGGTCAACGGAAAGAGTGTCTTTAAAGAAACCATAATTTATAGAGCATAAATGGAGCAGCTGTGGCCCAAAGGTTATAGAAGTGGGCTAGTGAAGTGATGGTCCTTAACTCTGACAATGGCAGCTGCTCCATGTTTGTACAGGGTGGCTTCCTGGTATGAATGTGATTAAATGTTTAAATAGGGTGATCCTGAAAAAGATAGCTTTGGTCATAATGAGATTTCCCTTGAAGGTTAAAATAAGAAAAAGATGTTTTTAGGAATCCTGGTGATCGAGGATGCCGACATTCCATGTAGCCGTGATGATTTATGAATTTGTGTCATCTCATTGTTGTTGGTGTTCAGTGTCGCTGAGTTTGAACTGAAGTGATTAAGTTTGAAGACATTTTGACGTCAACAGGACAGGTACGACCCCACAAACATGATTAATATTCATTCATGATTTAAATGTTCAGTGTGTAGGAGGATCTACTGATAGAAATGCAATATAATATACATAACTATGTTATCAGTGGTTTATAAAGACCTTACATAATGAACCGTTTCTATCTACATACACTGCGGGTCCCCCTTACATGGAGGTCACCATGTTGCGCTGCCATGTTTCTAGAGTAATCAGATTTTTTCCCCCTCCTTAAATCTTTATTGCAAAAAGAGCAATGAAGTGTACATGGGTGATAAATAAGTATACAGAACAGTAGTTTTGTAGTCAAGACCGCCCAAACCAAGACAAGACCAAGACCAGACCAAGACCAAGGGAGGGTGAGACCAAGTCAAGTCCAAAACCAGTTCCCCACATTACATGACACAAAATGTGGAACGAGATCATGGGTATTTCTCAAATTGATCTGAAAGATCCACATTCCCATTAAAAACACCCACATACAGACACTAAGAGCAGAAATCAACATAAGCATCTTTATTGAACACTCCTTTTCCATGCTTACCATCATGGGTAAGGGAGACAGTTGTTAACGGTAACAACACATTTTTAATTAGGGTTATTGGTTGCATTTGAAGCAATGTGTTTTACATCCAATCAAAGTTAGGATGTTAACAAATAAATCAGACAATGCAAAAGCAGTTTATTAATATTCCCAAAGTTATGGTCTTGACTGGTCTTAAAATAAAATCCCAAGTACTCAATGTCCGAGACCAAGACAAGACCAAGTACAAATGCGGTCGAGTCCAAGACGAGACCATCAAGAAGTGGTCTTAAGACTGATCTCAAGACCAAGACCAGTCTCGAGTACTACAACACTACAGAACAGTATACAAATATATAAGAAGACACAAAGAATGAAAACGTAGTCTGTATTTTATAAGGAAAAGAGGACCATTTGTTGACAATTTACAGAGGCTTTTTGTAGTTGGATTTAGAAGTTAAATTGATATAATGTACTACCTAAAAAGTACAATTTGTTATTCTACTGCTGAATTTACAATTGCCATTAGAATTAATACTTTTATTTTAAATACTTATTTCATCCGAGGAGCAAGTGAATGCACGATGAGCCATTTGTTGCAATTCACAATCCTCACCGCTAGATGCCACTAAAACTTACACACTGAACCTTTAATCTCTAAGTGATTGCATTTTAGTTGATGGTGAATGTTCCAATTCTACATAATCTGTAAGGGTCCTTAAAGGTTTAACAAGGCAAACATGTTTGAATGTGTTGTATCGGTGTGTTTGGAAATCTGTTCCTTTTTTAATGTAGTTACCATTCTCACCGTGAAAATCCCACCGAAAAGAGCAGCCATGAATTTGCTCAGGAGAGCGGCACACAAACTGGCAACATGAACGAAGGGTCCCTGAGAGGAGGGAGAGAGATAAGGATGTTAGGTGACAGGATATTTAGGAGTAGGGCATGCTGCACTCAAGTTCAGGAGCATTAATCAGAAACCTTGAACGATTAAACCCTCCTCAGATTCAGATTCAAACAACCTTATTACCCTCTAATGGGAAATACAAGTGTCATTAGCAGTAAATCACTTTTTTATTTTCCCAGCCATGGATTTTATATACTCCCAACAGGAAACTTAAAATACTGTCAAGCAATCTGTCTGTATATAATTTGCACACCCAAGACGACTGTAATGGAAAGACATGAATAAAGTATAAACTCTCTACCTCCTTCCCCAGAGGCATCCCACTGCCCAGAGCACAGGTCAGACCAATGACTTTGGCCACAAACGTCTTAAAAGTCAGGTACTCCTTCAGGACCACCCCCCTCAGTATAGTCTTCATCTCAGGAATGCCTGAACCTGGGAGATGAAAGGACAGAGGCGCCAGGTGGGATGATGGAGTGGAGAGAAAAGATGAGTTGAAAGAAAGCAATTACAGAGAGAGGGATGAGGAGAAAAAATGAAGAGTAAGGGGGGTGGGTGACAGGAAAGGCTTATTGATATTCATATAGTTTTCTGTATGCACATGGCATCTGCGATATCTTATGGATTTCCTGCAGGCGTGACCATTAAGAGATGTACAGCATATGTCCTTGGAGGCCTTGGTGCAGGCCTCCAAGGACATATGCTGTATGTCTATAGAGCTAATTATATTTTTCAAACATGAATACGTATCTTTATGCATAAGTCATGTAACTGTGTGTTTCTGTCTTACCCACAGCCTGAGGTGACAGTATCTGTGTGAATCCTGCTGAGAAAGTGATGAGCACTACAGGGTAGGTGACCCAGGCGATGTACTGCAGAAGCATGTTGCTGTCCAGTCCACCGTACATCCACTTCTGTGCTGCGCGCGCACACACACACATACACACACACACACACACACACACGTCATTTCCTCAGTATAATGCAGAAGAAAAAAACTCAACCATCCACCACTTATCAAGATGTATCTGTTGTATACAGATTCACCTGATTTCTATCTTCTTCATTTCCTCCCTTTGACCTTCTCTCCATATTTTTTTCTTGCATCTTAGTCATACTCATGAATTTTTCCTTCATCTTCTAGCAGCTCAGTAGCCTCTTCCTCCTCATTCATCATTGCAAGATTGCAATGATGAATGAGGAGGAATTCTGATGAATGATGAATTCTTGCGATCAAATTTACCATTTCATAAAACACAATAAAGGAAGTGTTTCTTGGATCTAAGGGAAATATTAATGTCCACAAGTGCATCATTCCACTCTCTGTCCACATTATGCCTGTCTGCACCTAAAAGCATCTGAGGAGTGGTGGAGGAAGAAATACCAATACAACTATGTAAAATTAGCCCATCACAAATAAAAGTACTGTATTCAAATACCTACTAAGGCAAAAGTGCAAAAGTATAATCAAAAGATATAGTATCAAAAGTAAATGTATGCAACTCTTTACTGACTTTATTAGATTGTTAATGCAGATGCAACAATGTGGAAATAGCATTTTCCTGTTGTAGCTCCTCAATGAGAAGCTAGTTTTAACCATTCTGAGTACAGTTCAGTATTTTAATCCAGGGCTTCTCAACCTAGAAATCAGGCTCCTTCCAAAGGGTCACAAAATAAACCTGAGGGTTTGTCAGATGAGATTATTAATGGGAGGTAGGAAAAAAGTTCTGCTACACAAATTTGCACTTGTTTCTTGGGATTTGGTGAAATATTGGATTATTGCTTCAAACTGTTTTTTAAATCTGTAACACTTATTTATAAGCTTACCATGTGTTTTATGTATCAACCTAATTTGAAAACTAACTAGAAAGTGTCAAACAAATGTAGTAGAGTAAAAAGTACAATATTTCCCTCTGTGTTGTAGTGGTAGAAGTATTAAGTAGCAGAAAATGAAAAAAGTAAAAGTAGCTGAAATGTTATGCAGTGCTTGAGTAAGTGTACTTAGTTACATTTTTTATTACTATGGTAAAGAATAAATGAAGGTTTTAGAAAATGATCAGTCAATGCAGGTTGGTGTTGCAGTAAAAAATAGAAAGCCACTTTCTGCCACCTCTAACCTTCTCTATAAGATCACTCATTTGACATGTCAATACAGGAGTTGTCATTCAGCTGTTAGACGACTTTGTGGTCATAAATAAGTGATCTGACTGGATGTCTCTGTGCTTTGATATTGGGTTGATCATTTCAGAGGATTTAGTTTTGAAAACCACCAATCAGCACCTGGTAATTTCAAGTGTCAGTGTTGAGATCGGTGCATTTGACGCTGTGTGGGAGTAAAAATCGTATTTATTGATCCATTAAATATTAATGAAAGCCACTTTGTTAGCTTCTGTTCATGATCAATATAACTCAGTGGCAGAATGCCAGTCAGTTTGTATTAATATTTTACCATCTATCTTCCTTCCTGACTGCTTGTTAGCTGTTCATTATGAGGAAAGACTCCTTGTGGATTCATTCTGTCACAACTTTGCTGCCTCTGTGAGAACAGCCCTTTATTCACTATCCATCTATCTGTTGTTGTAACTCTTTCCTCTCTCTTTCTGGCTCTCTGTCTCTTTCCTACCTTCTTGGCAGAAGGCGATGGCGTAGTCCATGACCCAGCTGACCAGAGCCATGAGCAGCCCCAGCAGAATGAGGAAGATCCAGTCCTCCCCCACCCGTGAGATCAGGAACTTCTGGCAGCGAGACGCACACACTAAGGACACACAGACAGAAAGAGACAAAGGAAAGCAAAAAAGTAAAATCTCTGAAATAAATCTTCAAGGTGTGAAGGACTGAAGAGAGATATTTGTTGGTGAGAGATTGAAAAGAACCAGAGGAGGGAACAGAAAGAAGCGAATATGTAGTGAGAGAGAAGGGGATGTGTTCCCCTGAAGTGCTTCATATACTGTAATGCATTCAATAAACCCATATAAGAAAATAATTATATTAAAACACCTGTAAAAGGATACAAACCAAAGAAATAAAGAACTTTTAAAGATAAAATTTAAAAAAAAGATATAAAAAAGGTTAGGCAATGTAAGGATAGAGACAGTCAGATATACAGTTTATTTATATGATTTGAAATGGTAAATTCAGCCAGGACTTTTATACCCATTGCCCATCTCTAGCGCAGAGTGGAAAATAATGAGTGGTTTAAAGTCTGCTTCACTCAAATGGGGTTTGTTTGTTACTTCACTCGTTCACATGATTTATATACTCACTTTAAATCTGATTATAAAACACGTATGTATGAGCATGACAGGAGGAGCAGATGTCATTTCAAGAATTTTCAACAAGGTAATAGATTCTTTGTGTGAGAAAACCACATCAGACACAAATGGAGAGGATGTTAAGGTTCAGTGGAAGACAAAAAATGTTTTACTTAGATTTAAAAAGGTAGCCAAAGTAGGGACAAGATTTACATCTTCGACGTTTGCTGTGATCATTGCCAGATTACCTGAGAGGCCAACATGTTTTATGTAGTAAAATGTTTGATAAATGATTGGAATAATGGAATTATAAACATAAGTAGAGTGGAGAGAGAGATATTATCCATTTACCAGTCGAGAGTCAGCAGTGAAAGAACAGTAATAGGCTAAAGGAGGTTATTATGTGGTGTATAGGTTTACAGTGAGAGAATCACTTCACTATCTTCATCCTCCTCAAATAGAAGAATACAGGGACAAAACAAAGTTAGGTCATGGTTATAAATTCTACCATTACATTATAATCTATAACTCTGAGCTAGGTCAGCTAAAAGAAGCATCACTGGACTAATTTCATCTCTCATGTCTGCGGACATTGCCAAAGCCTGGAATTCACTTCAACATCCAGAGCATTCATAGATGTGCCTGTCCCTCGAGAAGCTAAAAATGTGCTACTAACACATTTACCAGATCTATATTTCATACTAACGCTACAGTCGTCACATACACTGACACGGCCACAGAGAAAACTGTCACATTTTAGGAGAAACCAAGAAAGCAACAGATGTGTGGATGACTGTAAAACAGCGAGACAGACACAGGAAGACAGTGATCAGACACACAGTACTGCTTAAAGGAAATGTTGGTGATAGTAGTTCATTTTCCTTGTTGTCCATGAAAACACCAAAAACAATGAAAGCCAGAGCTTATTACTTTAAATCATTGTTTAAAAAAAAACATTAAAATATCACTCACTGATAATTTGAACTTTGCGAACAGATATTTTCTTCATCAGTTATCTGCCAATTGTTTTTTGTCACAATTTTCTAGAGCTCAAGGCAGCACCATCAAATATCTTATTGACCCACCAAGAGATACTGAATTTTCTGTCACGGAAAAGATGGAAATGTAGCAGAATCTCCTTTTTGAGAAGCTGGAACAAATGTTCGGCATTCTTGCTTGAAATATGACTTAATTTATCTGCTGATCAATTTTCTGTCAATTGTCTAATTGATTAATTGACTAATTGTTGCAATTGTAGTGACATGTTCCTTTTATCCACTGGACATGGACACCAACACATACACCTGTGGATTAATCCACCGAGGGAAATAGTCCTCATCAAAGCATTTCTTGTTATTTGAATAACCTTGCTACTCTATAGACAAAATAAACGATACAATAAATGAAAAAAAGAGAGACATCGCAGCAGTCTTTCTGGTGCAGGATTTAGATAATGGGGCGATGCTGAGTCTCTTGAGGGTGGAGGGGCACAACTGTGTGCATAACGGGGGCAAGCTGTCTGGCAGCCAGGCCACCTGCTGGATGGAAAGCTGCCAACAGAGAACGTATGCATGTGGAGCCAAAGAGCAAACACAAAGACATTCATGAGCAGATAAACCTGTCACACCGTGGACAAAAAACAAGTTAAAGCTGGGTTAGGCAATGTTGGAGAAACTAGCAACAGACAGCTAGATTTTTAAAGTATTCAACTGAAAAAATCCCAACCCCTCCCTTCAGTCCTCCCTCTAAAGCCACTCCCCCAAAACACACTCGCAGTGAGTGCACGGACAAAGTGCACACGGGTAGAGTGCGCACAGGTAGGCAGGTAGGTAGGCCAGCCAATCATTGTTTTGAGCTTATTACAGTCCTGCAACAGCCACAGACAGTAGAGTTGTTACATTTCTGTGTCTGAGCAGTTGATTAATTGATTGCTGTCGGGATATAGAGAAATAAAAAAGGAACATGTCAGAGAAATATTTAACCGCTTAATTGTCACGAATTAGCATCGCAAATCTTCCTTTCAGACTGCAGATGAGACAGCATATGTATTCCCTCAATGCCTGTTTGTGCATATTCGATACGTACCTAGGAACCTTTTGCAAGCACTGGTTTCTCTTTTATGCTTGTTGTCACATCATACCTACATCATCCCTGAATTTATATCTTTTCTATGTTCTATAGACAAATTAACAATTTCCACTTAATTTAAATCAGCTTGAAAGCAAATGAAAACAGAAATATATAGTGAATAAATTCAGGCGTTAAGGGGTCAAAGAGACAACTATCTGTGCAGATTAGACTGCCATGTGCCATTCACTTTATCTATAATATTTATTTCAGTTCATTGGATATTCCCATTTGAGCTGCTTCTCTTTCTTTATTCCTCTCTCTTTCACATAAACACACACACACACACCTCGTCTGGCACCTGCAAAGCCACATACTTCCGTGTGCATCTTGGCTCACGCTCACATCCGCAGGCTCAGTGGCGTTCACAGATGTCTTCTCCTGATCCCATAATAAAAAAAATCACACCCAAACGCCAAACATTTTCTACACCTCTGCTTGTCTTGCATTGCGTCACCTGACTAGCTGTAATCAGGAATAACAGTAAAAAAAATCATGAGATTTTTCACCCATAAACAGTTTATTCAAACCCACTGAATGCAAAGCTAAACATAACATGTGTCATAATACATTAATGCTGATCCTCGGAGTAACTAGCAGACAGAGATCTGCTATGAAATCACTGAAAGATTCACTCTGTGAGTCAAAATAAACACAGTGAAGCAGTTTTACGTGTTTTTAGCTCTCCATCACTACCGGTAGCAGAGCCTTGTGTAGGCTGCCTTGTTCAAAAGCAGCGACTCCAGTTTACTGATCTGAACCGAGGCACACACTCGTAGTCCATCACCCACAGAGATGATGTTCCCACACAAGATACATGAGAGGAAAACACTAAAACTCCCACTTCCACCAAATACGAAGCTCCTCTTCTTACACATTACTTAACAAGACAACAGCAGAATCCGTCCAGCCTGATGGTCTATCTGAAGACAAGTCTAAAAATACAAACACCTCGAGTTGCGAGCACACGCGTCGCACAGACAGCAAGCATACAAATCACTGTGGCTGGCTCCTGATCTGAGAGTGATTGTTTTAAATGGCTTCCATTACAGTACAGCAAGCGAGCAAGGCTAGGCTGATATAGTGTAGCTTTCACCTATAGTGCAATCTATCGAGCTTTAATCAGATCCCTAGTCACAAGGGCAAAGAGGCAAAGACAGATCATGGAAAACAGCCACACTGACTCACTTGTGCAGGCACGTGTGAAAAGCTCTGCCATTCTCTTCTTTTTCCTTTTCTGACTTTTACTGACATTATTTTATATGTTTCAAGACTTTTTTGATTTTTATAGCTAAAGGGTCTGTTTAACCAAATCTGCTGCTAACAATTATTTTCATTTCAGCTGGACTGTCTATTTTCCCCCAATTAATCCATTACTCATTTGGTCCTTAACAGGGGAAACAGCTGCAACTTCCACATTTCCCATCATTTGGGGATGTAGACGGGAAGTATAATGTTGCCATGGATTCAGTGAGTTACACTATATATAAAACTTGAGCCGTGTTAGCCTATTTTTGTTTACATTTTGGCAAATTGCCACCTTTAAAAGTATGCCAAATTAGCTATTAGCAGCTCCTGTTTGCATTGTGCCCATGGCTGTACAGACAACTGGATTACTTTGATAGTGAAGAAAACTTTACAATGTGATGATTCTCAGACTAGATATGAAGAGCATTTTTTCAATGATTTTATGGGTTTTATTATAACCTCAGTATTTAGTTTAATATCATAGAAGACCAGCAAATTTTTATATCAAGAAGCTGGAACTAGTGATTTTGATTATTTAATAATACAAATTATTTCCTGTTCATCGATTAATTGACTACAGATTTCAGCTCTAAATCGCACACACATACGCAAAGACCCAACATATTTTCTCAATCTCCTCTTGCAAAAATAAAAAATGTAGCTGCGAGTTGCAATGATCGGGGTCAAGCAAAAAAAACACAAAATATGTATATAAACAATGAAAGAATTTCGACTCGAAGCCAAGCCTTTTAAGATAATTGCAAAAATGTAAACTTGATTGCTACGGCGCCACTTCGAGATCAGTGAATGTCATTTTATGTGACTTTTAATCTTACGGTTTAGTGCCACACAATTTTAGCAGGAGATTGGGGAAAAGGAGAGATTCCAGCAGGAATACCCCTAATACAAACATTTTGGGGATGCAAACACACACACACACACACACACACACACAGAGGTGCCACTGCCTTATCAGCAGTCATCAGGGAAGACTAGACATAAAATAATCTGACAGTTCAGATCAGAGTTCTGCTCACACAAACAAAAAATAAACACACACACACACACACACACACACACACACACACACAGACACTCGGCAAATCAAACATCTCTCCATGCACACAGATGTGTACGCAGTGGGCCACTGGCAGCCAGCAGAGGGGGCTGTCTTTGTCTGACATTGAGACAGCCCTTGTTGGCTGGAGGTCATTGCTCAGATCAGTCACACGTAATCGTGCTCAAATCCTCTCCTTTTCCCTTGTGTCAGGTAGGTATGCTCTGAAGTCAATGTTTTCACACAACTTTCACACTTGCTGGGACACCAGTGTGTGCTGCACACACACACACAATCCCCCTTTTTTTTTTTACGAGTATTGAACACTGCTTTGCTCTGACCTCTACAACACGTCCGAGCACTTCACTACCTACACCCTGCAAGAAGAATTAGGGCTTGTTGCTTGATCAGCACTTACAATGGCACTTTGCACAGGGGTCTTTCTCATACTCCAGCAGGTCTGCAGCACGACTACGAACACTCGTGTTCCTCCGCAGTCCTCCACCATCCCGCACTCCTCCGTCCCGTAGGCGGGCCGCTTCCTCCTTGGCATACACACCCAGCTCCTGGGTGTACCGCCCATACATCTGCGTATATGAAAGACAGAAAAAGAGAGCTTTTATACAGGTGGTGCAAGTGGGAGGCAGTGAAAGAGATGTCAGTGTGATGCACTATGTATTTCACATAAAAAACAGTATCAGGTCACAGTAAAGATAGTAACCTTCTTTAAACACACTGAGGTTCAGACTTAGAGTAAACAGAGCCAGGTGTCAGGAAATTCACTGTGTGCAGCTCACAGCTCCACACAATTCACAGTGGTTTTCAAGGAATATATTTTTTTTTTGAGAAAAAAGAATCCACTCAGCTTTGACTCAACAGTCGTGTAATGACTTCTTTTCAGACAGATGAGCAGACAATAAGCTCCACCTGTCAGCTCCCAGTTGATTATCTCTGCAGGGCTGCCACACAATTGACTCCTAACGATGAGAGGCGGAGTTCTTAGCAAACTCCACACAATCAGTCATGTATTAAGCCTGCGTCTGAGGCATAGGTTCTGTGTTGCATTTTTGGCCAGTGTGTAGTTACTAATACCATAATGGAGCCTGTTCAGTGTCTGTTTGGTGTGGTGGTTCTGCTTGTTGGTTTGGCTTGTGAAGTTACTGCCCTGCCTCACTGGACGCTACCTCCGATGAAACCTCCTCTTCCTTCGCAGCAACTGTCAAACTTTCCTCCACCTGCAGTTTCCTTTGATAAGTGCCAGGTGGAGGAGGATGAGAAAATCCAGTGTGGGACCCAAGATATCACCGCTGAGCAGTGTGAAAACATAAACTGCTGCTTTGTAGGGCGGCACTGCTACTATGGAAAAGCAGGTATCTGTGGTCTCATGTGTAGTCTCTAGTGCCTCTAATCCAAATGCTACATGGTGGTTGCAAAATATCAACTACTGCAACAGAACTTCATACATCATTTTCTTCTCACCCAGTGACTGTGCAGTGTACCAGGGATGGCCAGTTTGTGGTGGTCGTGGCTCGAGATGCCACGGTCCCCCACATAGATGTGGGTTCAGTCAGCCTGCTAGAAACGAACGACAACGCCTGTGCTGCTGCTGATGCCACCTCTGCTTTTACAATCTTTCAGTTCCCTGTCACGGCATGTGGTACTACAATCAAGGTGGTTGATGCAGTATTTGCCTTAGCCATGTGACAACTTTAAGTCTTTGCCTAAATAACTCATTCTAGAAAATGCCCTGCACAGGCTTCCCCAAGATAACTTCAAATTGTTTGATTACCAATGGTCCAAATCCCTAAAAATCCAACTTCCAATTACTTAAACCTGGAAAAATAAGCAAACTCTCATTTAAGAAGCTTAAAACAGAATATTTGCCGTGTTCTTGCATCATAAACAACAAATCCTCTTCAATTTTGTTTCAGTGGTATAACACACTCTTTCCACCTGTAGGAGGAAGAGGATTATGTGGTATATGAGAACCACATGTCTTCCTCATATGAAGTGGGAATTGGACCCAGAGGTTCAATCACAAGAGACAGCCATTTTGAGTAAGTCTGTCTAAAATCAATCTCCTTACTGCTTTTGTGACCCACTGAGTTTTCCTGAGCCGTAAAGTCCTCTGCTCTCTCCAAACAGGCTATTGTTCCAGTGTCGGTATTCTGGCAGAGCTGTGGAGGCTCTCGTCATGGAGGTGAAGGATGTTCCTCCTCCTATGCTGGTCGCCGCTGCAGGACCCCTCAGAGTGGAGCTGAAACTGGGCAACGGACAGTGTCACACAAAGGGATGTGTGGCGGGTGAGTGGTACAGGAGCCTTAAACAATGCCAGCTGGTGCAGAATCACTGCTGTATACTAAAACTACATTATATTGATTGCAGAAAAGGCAGCGTATAACTCCTTCTACACTCCAGAAGACTACCCAATCACCAAAGTGCTGAGGGAACCCATCTACGTTGAGGTGAAAGCCATGGATAGGTCTGACCCAAAAATCATCCTGAACCTGGAGCACTGCTGGGCCACATCCACCCCTAATCCTTACAGCCTGCCACAGTGGGACCTTCTGGTTGATGGGTATATAAAAACACATTCAGTGATGGACTTAATTACTTGCTTGTGTAAAAATTGTTATGTGTTTAAACATGAGCTCTTGTTGATTCCAGGTGTTCCTACAATGATGACCGCTACTTAACCACTGTTGTGCCAGTGGACGGCTCCTCAGGGCTTCGTTATCCAACGCACTACAAGCGTTTCATCATTAAAATGTTCACGTTTGTGGATCAAAACACCTTTACTACTCAGAAAGATGCGGTACATTATTCACTACTGGTATATTAAGTGACGATCCTAACTGTAGTTTCAATGACCAAATAAGCAAGTTGGAAACTTTATTTTTCCAGATTTTCATCCATTGTGCTACAGCAGTGTGTTATACCAGCAGCACAAACTCTTGTGAACAGCCATGTCGCCGGCAACGTGAGTAGCTCCTTAAATGTAACTGAACTGGTTGCAAGTTTTTTTAAATTTAATCTAAAATTCCAATAAATGGCAAAATGCCCATGACATAATTGGTGTTCTGTTTATAAACTTCATTAAGCCATGGCAGACTGCCAAATCAGCTGTTGGGAATCTTTATCTGCAGATATGCTGAAATGGTATTAAGAGGCAAAGTTGGATTTGTGCATCATAACGTTTCCACAGCCAAATGTGAAACCAATCCTCACATTAGAGGACCTTGAACCAAAGAATTTTTGCTTGACAAATGGATACACTTGTCAGATTTAAAAACTTGTATTCAAGGTGACAGATTTCTGTTTTCACCATTCTCTTGCAGGAAGAGCTGCAGTGAAAGTTTCCTCAAGTCAGAGGGCTCTAGTCTCGAGCAAAGAGGTGATCCTGACTGAGCAGAGGCCTACATTTGCTTCCAGTGCCAACTTAAAGAGATGACCATACACTGGCAGCCATATCTGGCTATGACTTTTAATAAAAGCCCCTGCTTACACTCTTGTCTGAATTGCTGTTTGAAGGTCACTTGCTACACTTTTTTTGCTGAAGTAGAGGCAGTGTAGTCGGGCAAGTAATTCAACCCAACTCTACCTGATTTGTGCTGAGAAAGAAAAGAGGTTGCATTACAACTACATATCTCGCTGCAAGTCTATACTTATCTGGTGTGACTATAGTACAGCAGTAAGACATACTCGGTATGACCTGTGAAAATGAGTTTTCCTGTAACTGAGAAGCTGTACTAGAGAAATGTTAACTAGTAACCCCAGTTTCCCAGTACTAGTTTGGCATGAACATAATCCTTCTACCTTCCTTCACAAATGCTGATCTCTTCATAGCATGCCACATGAAGATGAGAATCACTGTTCCTTTCTTCTCCCCCTTATACTTTAATTTTTTATAACAATTCCTCTAGGTTTCTCTGTATGCTAAAACTTGCAAAATCTCTCCTCTGCTGCGCACCACCTCCCTTTTGTGTCCAACTCCTCCACCCCCTTCCCTCATTGAGATGGGCATCACGCTTCCTCCAGACTCACTCTTTCTGCTCCATGAACAGCAGGAGCAGAGGGAAAGCAGAGCAGCTGTATAGGTTTGGTCTGATTGGAGAGCAAAGAGCCTTGCTGTCAGGATGCTCATCTCCCTCCAACCTGCTGGGAAGCATTTGAGAAAGATGCAGCTTATACTTCATTCAGAGAGATGAGGCACTGCCTCATAAGCCACAAGGCAAAATCCCAGTGGATTCAGCCAATAGGTGCGAGATGCCAAACACTAACAGCCCCTGTGTGGACATGCATAAACATGTCAGTGTAGTGAAATGTAAACATGCTTTGCCACTGGTTTAAAATGCTATCAAAGCAAACTGGATACAGAGGAGATGCAGTCAATTGCATTTTAAATATTGGGGAAATTAAGCACATAAGTCAGTGTGGGGGGGGGGGATACAATTCATGCAAAACCGGGCTCTTTACAGCCATTATATTTTATAAAACTCAATGTCCAAAAACAGATGTCTATTTGAATATACAGTATGTTCTGTGTTGTAGCGTGAAGTGAGCTTCAACTTACATTTCATTGTAGAATGGCAAAATGTACCTTGAACCTTTAATAAGACTCCAGATCTTGGCTACTTTTATTCTTACTTAAATACAATAGGAGAATTAAAAAAAAATTCAACATTGTGAAATTCTAATCATGGCAATGTTTGCTTTCGAACCTTATCTGTATTTCTTCCGAGCTATTAATGCATTGGATTCTGTTGGGTCTTTGAGCAGCAATGAAACGCATAGTATTCCAGCTTTGTGAGGCTTTTAACAACCGTCAGTGGTCAGCATCATTTCTGGAACTTGGTAAGGCATTCAAATGTGGAACAATGTAATTTTGTAATTAATGTCTAGTAATTATATATTTTTTAAAGAGAATTTTTGGCATTTTGCCTTGGAAAGCGACCTTTTGAGGTACAAACAGGAAATGAGGGGAAAGACATCATGCAACAAAGGTCCCCAGCAAGAATCAGGGACATTGTGTTTATATGATAAGCGTCTTCACCATTAGGCCACCAGGACACTAGAGGTGTAAAAACGATCACTTTGCTGATTTGAATTATTTTGTTCAGCTCAAACATTCGTAGTAATTGACTATAGTTAGTCTACAGTTAGCCGCACCATTGTTCAAATGCACTTCAGTACATCAGTATCATTCATGCAACCTTTATCACATGATTGTTTATGTGGCTTTTACAGCCTTTCATTAAGCTTTTAAAAAACAACAAATGGTCAACTGTGCACTCAGTCATCACACTGCCAAAAGCTACTGATTTGGTGTTAACGGTGATTCAATGCAGTCAGTTCACTTTCAAGATTTGGTGTTAAAGATTTGTTTGTGAATGTACTGAAACCCTCTGCAAGACCCCCTGTAATCTTAATTTTAAAAATAGAACGGCCAAATTAGATACCAAAATGCTAAAAAAAGGAATCTGAAGACCCCCAAATGGCGACTGTTCAGAAAGCAGTTCCACTTCTTCTTCATCAAGAGAATCATTATAGCTGTGTTAGTATTTCCTAAATTAAATGACCCACATCT